GTAGCAGCTACGACCTTGGCCCTTCAGGACTACTACAGCGACGACCTCTGCTACAAACTTGACCCCTACTTGACAGGTCTACAGATCGAACCCCTACAACCTACGGGCCTACGACAGCCTACCAACTAATGCGAATACGTAGGTTACGGGTTCAACTCTCCTGGTCGACACAGGTACTGTACACAGGTAAGGTAGGAACTAGGGATCGAGCCCTGGGATCTGCATTCGCTACTGTTAACAGATGAATACCGTTCCACTCCCGCCGGCCTAAATTCAAGGTCCTCCGAGAATAATTCAGTCCAAGACTGGATTTTTACCTTTCCTTTCTCTCTCGTAGGCTCTAACTACGCCGGGAGCTGTTTCTAGAAGTTCAGTTCTAGTAAACCAGCGGTCGTCCTCGGGTTCCTGATAAGCAAATCGGACCTTATACTGTTTCTGTGGATGACCTCTACCTCCTGTTCTGAATACGTCTTCACCTACAATGCCCTCAATGTCATATCTTCATCCATGTCCGGAGGGATCATGGATCTTCTTGATGGAAACTGTGGACTTGTGACACACGACAACAACTTTGACACATGGAACACAGGGCAGGTGTGGAGGTGTGCTGGAATCTCTATTGTATAGGACGGGCCATCCTCCCCGCCCTTAACCTCTAGAACTGGCCATGGTCCCTTGTATGCTGGCAGTAACTTCTACGAAATGTTTTCCTCAGGAGCAAACTCTTTGGACTTGACCCAGACTAGGTCGCCTACTTGAAACTGCGACGGGCGACGGTGCTTATTAGGCTGCTCTAGCATTCGGTGTTGGGCCTTCCTGAGGTTTTCAACAACGGTAGCTAACTCCTTCTCGTGTTGTAGCGCAAACTCCCTAGTACCGGGCGGTAGCCTATGAATCTGGTCCCGGTTAAGTCCTTCAAAAGGTTTGCATGGTCTAAAGGACTTATGCAGCTCATTGGGAGTACGACAAGTGGCTAGGTGCACGCTGTTATTATATGCACTGGCTACCTTGGGCAACATCTCGTCCCAGTTGACTTGATATGGTCTAATGTACATGCGCAAAACTTGCTGAAGGATCTTATTCATCTGCTCGGTCTGACCGTTCGTCTTTGGGTGACGGCCAGACGACGTTAACAACTTTGACTCGTATACTCTCATTAACTCCTTCCAGTTCTGACTTGTAAACCGGGTGTCCCGATCGCTGACTATGGACAATGGGATCCCGTGATCACTAATCCAAAAGTAAAAAAACTTCTGAATTACTAACTCGGTACGGCCTTCTGCGGGTAAGGGAACAAAAACAACATATTTGCTAAATCTTCTACTATTACCATGACTTGGCTCTTCCCATGTCTACTTTTGACGCCAGCATCCATGAAATCAATGGATATTGAATCGCTGGGCTGATCAGGTATAGACAAGGGTCGAAAAAGACCTAGAGGGGCACGTGTAGTTGTCTTATTCCTCTGACAGACTTTGCAACTGCGAACGTACTCTATGCAGTCGGCTTTCATTTCTGGCCAAGTATACGCACGCATCAGATTGGCTAGAGTCTTTTGCCAACCGAAATGTCCCTCTGTGTCGTGGCATTCCCCTATGATCAAACTACGGATCTCCTCACTATTAGGAACGCACAGACGGTCTACTTCTCAAACAGGAATCCCTCTGTAGTGCGGTAATGTGGTTCAGTCTCTGGTGCCTCCTTAACTTTCTTGAGGAGGTCGCTATAAATAGGGTCTTGCGCATACGCCTGTCTTACTTTCTCTTGCAGGTCTCTCCCTATATCCAGATAGTGAACTATAGCTCCAAAGTAATCCGATCTCCTACTTAGAGCATCCGCAACTACGTTATACTTGCCCTTGACTGGTTTGAGCTCGAGTCATATTGGTCTATCTCAGCGGCCCACCTAGTTAGCTTAGGTGTCATCTTGGCCTGCGTTTTCAGCCACCTAAGAGTCTCATGGTCTGAATAAACTTTGAAGTGCCTCCCAAGAACGTAATGCTTCCATTGTTCTAAGGCCTTCCTGAGAGCGTAGAGTTCTCTCTCGTAAGTCGAGGTAGCCACTTTCTCTGATGGCATCCTCGCTGACATGAACTCTACGGGTCTATAGCCATTGTCGCCGTCCTACTGCAACACGGCGTCTATACCATACTGACTTGCGTCCGTGGTGACGATAAATGGCAAGGACGGATCTGCCACCTTGAGGACAGGGTACTCTATCAATGCCCGCTTTAACTTCTTAAGAACAGATGTACAATCCTTGTCCCATTTCCAGATTGCATTCTTCTTGAGCAACCTACGAAGGGGAGCGGCGATAGTGGAAAAGTTCCTCACGAACTTCCTATAATAATTAGCTAGGCCTGGAAACGACCGCAATTCTGTCATCGTGCGGGGCGTCGGCCAATCTCTAATCGCCGCTATCTTGCTATCCTCAGGCTTAATGCCATCTCCGTCTAAGACGTGGCCCAAGTACAAAACTTGTGTCTTGGCCCACTCACACTTCTTCGCATTGATCTTGAAGTTAGTCTCTCTCAACTTCTCCAAGACTTGCCTCAAATGACCCTGATGCTCTTGGAGGGTCTTACTGAAAAGTAATATATCGTCTAAATAAACTATGACGAATCTATCTAACCAAGGCCTAAACACACCATTCATACAGTGCTGGAATGTGGCTGGCGCATTGGTCAGTCCAAAGGGCATCACTATGAACTCATAATGCCCATATCTAGTCCGAAAAACAGTCTTTTACTGGTCATCAGGGTGAACTTCTATCTGATGATATCCGGACTTCAAGTCTATCTTTGAGAAATACCTACAACCCTGCACCCGATCTAAGAGATCGTCTATCCTGAGCAGTGGCTCGTCATTCTTCACGGTGATAGCATTCAAACCCCTCTAGTCTATACACATACGCAACTCTCCTTCCTTTTTGGGGACAAACAAAACGGGTGCTCCGAACGGAGACGAACTGGGCCTAATCCAACCCTTTTCGAGGAGTTCGTCTAATTGCTTGCACAACTCCTCTAACTCCCTTGGGGACATCCTGTAAATCGCACCCTTAGGAGTTCTCCTGTCAGGCTCTATCTCAATATGGTGCTCGATTGGCCGTGGTACTACTCCTTTTGGCGGCTCTGCCAAATCTTTAAACTCTTCTAGCAGCATGACAATAGCTGGGTCTATTGGCTTCTCTTCAATAGGCTCAGTGGCAGGCCTCTCGAAAGCTACGAAGACCTGCTCTTCTAACTGCTCCTTTCTTACTAATCGCGCGAACGTGGGAGCACTGAGACAACAATATGCCAGAGAGTTATCTACTCCTGACACATGGAACAGGCGGGCAGTCTTGACCTCGCCTGATGGACTAGGGAGCCTACACTCATGCTCTCTCAAATGGAGTGTGGCCCCTGCTGCCTCTCCCCAATCCATATCTAGGACCACATCAAAAGGGAGGTTGTCCTCTACGAGGAGAGTCGGAGAGTGGAGAACTTTCTCCACTTTGCCATCTTTCTCTGAGCGCAAATACGCCTGGACTCCCTCGACGTAATCCTCAACACGCATCGTGCGGTTGTCTGCGAGGATACTGACTATGGGGTCTTCCAACTTTTGGACTTTCAGACCTAGCCTCAACTTCTTTAGCGCCTTCCTGCTGATATAACTACGGGTAACCCCTGTGTCTATAAGGTGCCCTACTTTGCTTCTAAACACTCCTAAATCTACTAACACCAGTTGTCCTTTGCTCTCCTTGTTCATCTTGGCCCAGGCCGGCATCCTCTCTTTCAACTCTTCTGCCAGACCTGTGAGGGAAGTGCTTAGGGAGACTCTAACACAAGCGGTCTCTGGACAGCTAACTAGGCACTGGCCTGCAACCTCTTCCATAGGCTCATGTGGTGTGGTAGTTTCCTGGTGGTGCGCACACACTTCCCCACATGGCCTAATGGTAAGGGCAGTTGCAACCCCTACCGGCAGCTGCCTTTTGACCCCTGGCAGCAAATCGGGCTTCCCTATACTTCGGACAGTATTTAATGATGTGTGCAGGGTCACCGCAATAGATGCACTGCCCCTGCTCCATCCGCTGTTGCCACACTCTCTGATCCAAGCCCAAATCTTCCCAAGGTCGGCCTTGTGGCCAACCTGGGTGCCAACCTCCTCTCCTTTGAGGTGATCCTCCAGCTCTGCGTTGTGGTGATCGACTAGGCCCTGAACGATTCGGCGGGGGACCTTGAGCCCTACCTCCCTCTTGGCGGTTCCTTTGGCCGCCAACCCCCTATGCGCCCGGACCTCGACCACCCATGGCCTGGACCCCTTGGCCCTGGCCTCCTCCTCTAGCCCGCGGCCTCCCTCCAACCGCGGCAACAGCACAGGTCCTCCCTTGGCCTACACTACTGTCTTCCTCCTCCAGCCCCCACTCGATCTGACTGTAGGGGACTTCCTCAGTACCACCCTCATGTAAAGTAAGGATCAGGTGATCCTTTGCCCTGACCTGACCCGAGATGGTACGACCCTTCCACTACTTTCCCTTGTCTAAATCCTTATGCCAGAAAGTGGAAACTGGCATGGATTTTGCCTCAAACAGGACCACCTCTCTACTCAATGCGTCATACGTGGTGGTGGCCTGTTGGGTTTTCTCAAAGAAATGCCCTCGTAGGGACTCTGGCATGGCACGATAAAATAAGTTAACTGATTGGGTCTCAGTGACCCCGTGGTCTGGGATGGCTACCAGATCATCCATAATTGCTTTGAGTGCTCTCGCACTCTTCCACTGTCGTGAGTGAATTGTCTGCAGTTTGTCAGAGGCCCTGACGCCTCGTGTGACGTCAGCGAACCTCTCTTTCAGGAGTTTGAGGAAGGTGTGAAGGCGGGTGAGTTTAGATTACGCAACCATATTGTGTTCACAATCGGCTGCGCGCGCGAAGGACCTGGCAAAACTGGCCGCTTCATCTTTTAACGCATGGAAGGTCACGAGGACTTGTTCCTCTGGCGCAATATGCTGCAAGTACACGTACGTGTTGATATTGGCCTCCCAGTTATCAAAGTTTTCGTCCTTTTTCCCGCCATAAGAGTCAGGAAACTTGAGCTTGACAGGCTTTTTGCGGGGGCGCCCTTCACTCTCTGCAGCGACCACTACTTTGGCGCCTTCAATGGCGCCTGCGCAGAATTTCTTTGTGCCGTCCCTTAACTTTTTTACTTCGGTCCCGACATGAGTCATTACATCGCGCGTGAAGTCCCTAAAACCAGAACGGATGGAGTGGAGGGCCATTTCTTGGCCCCTAACAGAATGATGATGCTCAGTCCAGGCCCTACCTAGGAGCTCGATGCTCCCAAGGATCTTGTCTAACTTAGCATGAACATCAGGCTGGGCCTCTACTTCCTGTCTACACGTCTGTAGACTTTCGACCTCTCTGGCAATCTTGTTGGCTTCCTCCGCCCTCCTCTTCTTCTCCCTTGCCAGGCGTAACTTCCAGTCCAACCTCTTCTCATTCTCTATGGCCTGGCGTTCTAGGGGATCGCTCGTTGCCTCGATCTCCCTGAGTGCTGCTTCCTTCTCCTCCTGAGGTATATATAGCATCGCCTCTTCATCATCTCCCAGCGATGAATTAGCCACCCACTCACTTATCCTCTTCTCCACCCACGGGTCATCTTCCCTCATGCCACTGCTCTCTCCTCCTTCCCCCAATCTTCTTCCTCTGAGGGGCTCTTCGTCCGGCTGCTCTTCCTCCTCTTCATCCTCCTCTTCAACCTCTTCTTCTACTGCAGCTCTCATCTTCTCCTCCTCTTCTTGCTGCAATCTTTGCATCTCCTCCTCCAGCTTCTTCTTCTTCGCCGCCTGCTCCTCGGCTATCATCTTCATCTTTGCCTGCCTAAGGAGCTCCTCTCTTCTCTCTCTGAGGATGGCGGCGGCCTGCTCCTCTTGAGCCTTAATACTATATGGCATGGTACTCTTCCCACTACGAGTATCGACCATGGTGATAAGTGCACAACTGGACAACGGTTCCAAACCTCACCACTTGACTAACTAGACCTAGACTCAATCTAAAGGACCACAAAACCCAAGTAGGATCCTGTCAGCAAGGGTCTCTAGCCTAGACCTAAACTATGGCTGTCACTACAGGACTTGTTGCTGATTAGGAGGCATTTAAGGAGATCCCCCGTAACTCCTCAGGAATTATTTAACGTCGCAGACAGGACAACGCGATCAGCAAGTTCTCTCAAGACTTAGACAGCCTGTTGTGCAGCCCACAGCTCGGATTTTGGGCCTACCGTGCCACACCGAGCAGCCCGTCGGTCAGTACCGGTCGTTGGGAGGGTTCGTGTCCTCCGGGACAGTCGAGTCGTCAGACACAGCCTTTAGCCCTACTCAGCCCGTGTGGGTTTGGTCAACAAGGCCCTATCCTTCATACACGGAGTTCCTATCACCTGGACAGAAGAGACTCAATGCAGAAAGAAGAGACAAACAGACTCAGCAAGTACCATAGGGTGAGTGCACATCCATAGGGCGAGGGGATAGGCTAAGGGCTTGGCGAGAATCTACCAACTCCAGCTTGGTCAAAGTCGCAGTCAACAGCCTTGGTCAATGCCTTGGTCAACGCTTGGTCAATGCCCAAGTCAACGCTCAAATCAACTTCGGTCAACCTTCAATTCGGCTATGGCTGCCGCCTTCTTCTTCCTCACCACCCGTCTTCTTCTTCCCTCTTTCTTTCTCCTACCTCACCTTACTCTTCCTTCACCCTGGCTATGCCTTGCCTTTTCTTCTTCGTCCCTCCTTCCTCTTCCTCAACTATGGCTTCTCTCTTCTCTTTTGTCTCTCCCTCCTCCTTCACTCATCTTCTTTCTTTCCCTCCGTGTCCAAGCTCCGCGGCTATGGCCGCCTTCTTCCTTCTTGGACTGCACAACCAATCTTCTCTCTCTCTCTCTCTCTCTCTCTCTCTCTCTCTCTCTCTCTCTCTCTCTCTCTCTCTCTCTCTCTCTCTTCGTTGTTGTCTTCTTTGCGGGTACGCGACACCTTGCTCCACCAGCGCAACTCTTGTGCAGCGATGGCAACTTCAGCTATGGCGCACTTCGGCTATGGCGCCCAACTTCGGCATACCGCGGACAACAACGGCGCGTGAGATAGCGGGTACCAGCTCCGATACCAATGCAATCAGACTCGCTTTCTTCTCCACTTCGCACTCATGCAAACAGATGGCGAATCACGCTGGCGCACAGCCCCCACTCGAATCTCAGAGATATGAAGTCGAAAACACAGTTCAGATACAAGCTCGCTTCAATAGGCTATGGCGCATCAGTGCCTGTACCACCCACTCTCGTCACTCTGTCCAACACCACTGTTCGCACTCACTCACTCTGGATCACCCTGGATATCCCACATGCACACACACACTACTACTAACACACTCGTCTATCCACTATGGCGGCTATGGCCACTGTCCCTCACTAGCTATGGCTAACTATCCCTTCAGCCCACTTCGTCTTCGGGCACTCTGCAGACCACCTTGCACAAGTCGCTCAAGCAGCGCTTCCGCATGGCTTACGCAGGAATGAATGAATGGCTGGGCGCTGCCTCTTGATTTATACTTCTGTAACTCGTTGGTCTGCCCCTTTCCC